AAAACGAATATTGAGAGGCCATGCCCCAATCCCATCAACAATTTTATATTGTTAGTTTTTAATTACATTTCAGTCAGATTCAGAAGACTATGGAAAATTAATTATTTTTCAACTCTGCAAGACATCAAAAACTAACAGTGTTGAGTGTTAGTACTTATTCTTAGCATACAACCTTTTTGATAAATACTTAATTGATATTATAAGATCAGCATAGTATCTAGCAATCGTTATATTAATATTAAGATATATTTTGTTAGTAGAAAAAGATACAGGAGAAACTTGTAAATACAAAAGTGTGTCTGTTTGTCTTTCTTTCACGTCGGAGATCGTTTCTTTCACGCGGAGTGTCGTTATTATATTATTTGAGTCGGGATAGTTGGGTGGCTTGAAACTGATAAGCTATTTCTTTCACGAAAAACTATTTGTATGACCACTCGGGCGAAGCCATACCGAAAGCTAGCTACTTCATTAAATCACCATAGCTTCTTTACTAACAAATATCTTTATTTAGGAGTTGCCTGATAGTAATCGCTGATAAGAGATGAGGGCATACCATTACTACGCCATTTTTTAATGTTTTCAAGTCTTATGTTCATTCCCAAAGTTGAATCCCAAAAATAAATGCAGATTTATTTGTCACTAAAAGGAATAAAATAGAAATAAATCATTAATAAGCACGACTGCGAAAGAAAAGAAACATGTTATATTTTGGCTTAGCTTAATAAAAAGTCTTATTGCAGTCGGGAGACCTTTTAGATTACAAACGTTTCACAGAACTGTCCTTTTCTTATTTTTTGTTTGGTAGTCGTGTTTTTTAATAATTTTAATTAGGACTAAACTAACATTTAATGGGATGCTACTTTATCGCAAATCTAACAGTGCTATTAATAAACAAGGTTTAGCGTCAGAGTAAATTTACGCTAAAATTGCAATTTATATATTAATCCAAATTCATAACATAGAGAAAATAAGCAAAAAAAGTAAATATTACTCCCGTAGAACCTCGTATTAGGATAAGCTAAGTCCTTTGCTAAGTCTCTGTTTAATAATATGAATTTTGACTTATTAGTCAAAATTCGTAATGCGTAAATTTACTCCAACGCTAAACCTTGTTTATTAATAACACTGTAAGAGTTATGATTCATTTATATTTCAAATATGACTTTTTAGTTTACCTTATAGTAATAAAATTATAAAAAATAATTTAAATCATTAGATCTTTATCAATATTAAAAAAACGCCAAACGAAGTTTGTGTGTTTGAAATACCTTAAATATTTTTAGTGAAATTAATTTCCGTAGGTGGGTGTTAGAAATTTCATTAGAAAAACTATATATATTTTTCTAATAACATTTCAAACATTAACAATAAAACAACAGTTTTATTTAAAACAACCTAATGACATTAAATATCACTTTACGAGGTCTTCCCACTAAAAAACTTAAAGAGTCATATCACAGAACGAATAAATGAATCATAAGATAGAGCTAAGTTATAACATTAAAACGAAATCATACAACTTAAAAAAAAAGAAATGATAAATAGAGCTGTCAGTTTAGTCCATTTAAATAAAAATTAGAGTAGTATAATTTAAATATAGGTGCAAAGGCATCAGTCCAGTGCTCTCGCACCTATATTTAAATTATTGAGTGGAATATTGGTTCGTTTATAACTGGAATATTGGTAGCGAATAAAGTGACCGAACCGCTTTATTTGCTTACGTCATTCGGAATGTTTACGTTTACACCATATTATTGCATTCCATGTGTGAATCGTGCAATTTCACGTCTCATGAAATGTCAATTTCATAAAGGGATTATTCGTTTCATTTTAAAATAACATTATATTACTCGTTATACAGTTATTTTGTACGCTAGCAAAAGATTCGCACAGATAAATTTCTGTTTATCTGAGCGTGATAATATAAATTCAATAAAGGGCAGAATAATTCATGATTTAGATTTTAAATTATTGTATAAATTGGCTATAGAAAAGTGACTATAGTTGGAGGCATTAGGGAAATTTGAGCTATTCTGTTATAAACAACCTAGAAACCATTGTCGAATATTACGCTATCACGTCATAGAGGTTCAATTTAATAAAAAACAACTTCAATAGTTTTTATTTTATTGGAGCACTACTACTTATTTCACATAAGTATTTTAGTATCATCCACGCAAAGCCGAGTTGTTACTAGTTTAACATAAAATTATTGTTGAAATACCTCTGCCGTTCTTGTGTGTGTGTGTGAACAAAAATAAAATAAATAATATTTTACATAGATATATTAAAGAATCAAAACTATTGCGAATATAAAAAAAAAATACTATACAGGAAGGATTTCTAGAGCATTGTACTAAGTTAGTTTGCCTAAAATTTCGAGTTATTACAATTATCATTGCAATTAAAATCTGTCTTAAATCATTTACAGTTATTAATGCAAAAATAATATATATTATCGTCGATTATAACCACAGATTATAACTATTTTATTACAGCGTGGCTGTAAATAACGTTGTAAAATAATAATAAAAAATACACCAATGGCGATTATTTGAAGTTGTAAAGTACCTATATATTTTTATACTTTTATATGTTTAATCGACATTAGATATGTTTTCCAAATTCTCGGTGTCAGTAGGAATTGTTTATTCTACCATTGAACATTTTGATAACCATTTATATCTTCCAGATGGTCTGGAGTGGATATAATTGACTAAGATAAATTCACTATTATTTTTTATTTATTCTCGTAATTATCCTAGTCGCATAAACGTCCATAAAATTATCCTTAGTTTAAAGTGATATTACCGAAACTAATTTTCAAATTTAGAACCTTTGTTAGAGCTTAAAGTTGTTATTAAACCTTATTTATGTTATTGCACATGCCTTTCATCTTTATCAATGTACTGTTTTTCTCTATCACTTTGGTTGCTCGGAAAAAATTGCTAGATTGCTGAATAGCAATAAGACCTTTGTATACTGTCCTTAATATTGTTTTCTTTGTAATGCAATAATAATATTATTATTAAACTTTAATAGACGCTTGTGCAATTCAGTTTATATTTATTTTATCTGGGAGATTGGTAAATACGCGTATCACATTGTTGCCGGTGGTTTTATGGTGCAATTTTACAATAATTGCGAGCATTTAAATAAGAATAGTTTTTTAAGCGTAATACTCTATCACTATGTCAAATAATTGTGTAATAATTGTCTATATCTATCTCATTACTACCAGCAATGAGATCGAAAGATACAATGTTTGGTCTTTTCACTCAACTTCAACATGACAACTACGAAACCGCAAAAAACGGTACGCCTGGACGACAAAATAAATAAAAAAGGAAACCGTTTTGCAGAAGAAAATATCTTATATTAATGATGATAATTTCCAACTTTCCAAGGATTTTCTCTTTGGAGCGACGGCAGTTGTTTTCCAATGCGAAAAACACGGTTTCAATTATGGTTTGAGTATTTGCATTATATATGCGGTAAATACCAGCGCTCTATACTCAACAAGGCAAAATCTATGGGGTTTTGATTGAAAAAAAGTGTGAAAATGTCCAAGAAATGTACCCACAGAATATTTTAGAGTACTATTGTTTTTCGGACTGCTCCATTTTACCAATTTCCTGGATTTATAAGTAAATAAAACCTAATAACACAATGGGTAATAAAATACGGTTTATCTTGGAAGCGAGTATCTGTGCTACTCTACATACAAGTGTATTCAGGTCAAAAGGTAAATTTGGTACTTGAAAATCATTAAAAATGTCAGATAACTCTTCAATAACAGCATTGGGAAATTCGCTTTTACAATTAAAGCTAATACCGATATATAAAAGTTAAATCATACGGTATTTTCATTGTTTTGAACTTTCAGCAATCTCAATATAAACATCAAAATTATTTTAGAATTTCCTACAGCTAAACAATGCATTTAGGTTTAAGTTTTATAGATCTATATAGGTAAAGTTTTTATAAAGAGGTAAAGTTCCTAAAGTTTCTAATTCGTTTTGTATTTTTATACACAAAATGGAATCAATAGAATAGTATCATTAAACTACAACACACGCGGATGACATAGGCTATAATATACGAAGGCGAAAACCAATCAATTTTTAATAAACCTCATAGGTTGTATTGTTTAACAAAGCTCAACATTTATTACAATACAAATGTAAACACTCTCACATCAAAAGTTTATAATACAAATATTCTCTATAATTTTTTGTTTGATTAAGACGTAATCCATTCAGTGCCAATCCAATGGCAATAGAGTGAGGCGATCGCAGCTCAGATAATGTTTCATAGCCTAATGTTTTATTTGATGTCTATGGTTAACATACTTGTAGCTTAACCATAAATTTTTTTAACAAATCTCTCCTTGCATAGTTGAATTTCTTTTAGTAAAAAAATATTTATTATTTAAGAATATCGCGTACCATCAAAATAATACCTATATTTTATCTATCTATTTTTTTCTAAAATCTTCATTTTATACTATGTTACTTCTAAATATATGATTGTAAGTATATAGTAAATATCTACATAATTCTTTCATTGTAAATATATAACTACATTTTTTAACAAATCTCTCCTTGCATAGTTGAATTTCTATTAGTAAAAAAATATCTATTATTTAAGAATATCGCGTACCATCGAAATAATACCTTTATTATATCTATATAATTTTTTGAAAAATCTTTATTTTATACTATGTTACTTCTAAATATATTATTGTAAGTATATAGTAAATATCTACATAATTCTTTCCATTGTAAATATATAGCTACATTTTTTTTGTTAAATTTTTTAATGTGTTCCCTCGTTTTTTTATGAGGTTTGATTTAATGTTTTACAAGTACACATTGAATCAGAAATACTCGTAAAACAGATGATTTGCCATAAAAATTAAATAAATCAAAAACCACAAATTTCACAAGATTTAGAATTCGCCATATCATTGAATAAAAAAAGATATGCCTACAACTAACCTGTTCTGCCGGCGCAGGTGAGCGGGGGCTGCATGCTCTCCTGCATCAATCCAGGATTTATATTCGTATAGAACTCCAACATTTTTTTCATAAAAACGGCCACAGCACTACCGAGACGTCCGCACGGCGCGCGACCTCCGCACAATGGAGTAAGACAGAGGCACCCGCCCCACTGTCTCCCTCCCCTCTCCCGAGCACCAATCGCAGCCACCTAGTGGGGGGTGAACCCCGCCCCACTCGCTACCTACCTACCTACCACACCACAGACATCACATCACACAGCTTTGATATTTTGCTCCTCCGAACTGAAACACCAACGACAAATTGTATTTTTTCCTTTGAAAAAAGAACAAAAGTACAGACGGTTTGTGATAACGTGCGTCAATAAAGCCGTTATGATGGCACGTCACTATTAACGTTCAGTCGGGTCATGGTACTCTATGTGTGTATGTGTGGGTACGAGTGTACTGTGTGTCTTGCTTCTGTTAGTCGTCACTTAGTTTGTAGCTCTGTCGCTGAAAAGAGTCTTCATTGGACGTCGGATGAAACAATTGTATAAATATTGATTCTAGGGTTTGTCGGTAGACATTTGCTGCGGGATCATACGAACCTTCTTTTGCGATGTTCAGATGACGAAATAACAATAGCATTCAACTTTTACCTATATAATTAACACTAGGATAAGTTAACAGAATTATAAAATAAATAAACAAACGCGTCTATCAAGAATATTAAGAATATTTAAACTTCTCGTTAACTGTTTTTATAAAGTTTTAAAGTGTCATTTCATATATTATTTAATGATAGTTTTTTATAATATAAAGTTATTAATGATAACCTATAGTTCTTCTAATGACTAAGTTGGTATTTACCCATTATACCAATGAAACCTACAACAAATAGAAGAGTAGTAAGATGCGAGCTTGCGAGTATGAAGAACAATTCTTCATACTCGCAAGCTCGCATCTTAATTACACAGTTATCAATTTTCACCTTAGAAATAGAATATAATTATAAATAGAAATTGAATAGGCGCTGCCTATTTGAATTAAATCTAGGTATTTAGCTTTTTATAACAAGAAAATATAAATAAACCACTTTAAGGAATAATTAGACACTTGAGATATAAGACGTACTTAGTACATTTTACTTGGACGTATTTCTCAGATTATGAAAAAATTTCAAGTCACTTAATGTTAATTTCACGCGCCCCCTTGATTAAGAATGATATGCGGTCTGGTAATACCTACTTAATAATGTCGATGCTGGTAACTAAAGAAACATCCAAAACTGTCGTTATATTTGCAATAAAAATTAAACTCTATAATATAAAGAAGTTTGTATATGATCGTTTTATTTTTTATCATAGTTAGCAGATTGTTTCGATTTGGATGCATCAATGATTCGTTTGCGTTCAGCATAAAAAAAAGCCGCTGAGAAGTGTCTACAGAGTTGGCTCATGGATGCGGCATTGTGTTTCAAGTGGGCCAATTCTCCCATTGAGCCGGTACTACCACCATCCGCCACATAAACAACGACGGATTAAGAAGGGGGCAGGAAAATGCGGTATATTTAATTTCTTTTTACTAAATGCTTAAATTATTCATTACATTCATATATGAAGCAAAAAGATTGTACCCTTTTTAACGAATATTACGATGATAGGAGTACCTATGACATTTGACATAGTAAAGTTTATGTGGGGAAAGAGTGCAAATTCCTATTTTTTTAATTATGCTTAAAAATACATTACACATGCTACCATAGTATTTCCTTAAATTACAGTTTTTGTTTGTGAATGTCAAATAATCGTGAATAGATATAGTCTTTTATACTAAATCCTTTATGTTCAAACTTTACGGTCAAATTTGGAACAGAACCTTTATGCCTTATCCATGTGCACACTACGTTCTTACCTCTCGGGAGATTGACATGAAATCATTATTCTGTTTTCATTGCTTAAAACGAAATGAATAGCGCTGCGTGCGTTTTTTTGCTCCATTGTGCCTTGGCTGTAGACCACTCGAGGAACGGTGTGGTGATCACGAAAAATACCGAATGCCCCTGACGGGTTGCTCCATATAGTTTTTTATTCGAGAGGAAATATGCTCCGGTCGCTTCCACCAATGCGGTTTCAAGCCTTTGTGTTGTACGCTGTTTAATAGAAACGCAATTTTTGTTTACGTTACGATGAGTCCGGTTGTTACGACTCTTAAACCCCAACAATGAGCGTCATTACCCTGTCGTCGAACGTTTTGATGATGGCTGAATGGTTTACAGTAGCAGGTAGAATACGTAAATACAAAAGTGATTTTTATAAAAAAAAATGTATCTATACTAATTATAAAGCTAAAGAGTTTGTTTGTTTGAACTCGCTAATCTCAGAAGCTACTGGTATGAATTTTATATATTATTTGTGTTGAATAGTCAATTTATCGCGGTGTTATTCTATAGGCTAAATAACGATACGCTATGACTAATAGGAGAGAAGCAGCAATGAAAAATGTTGCAAAATCGGGACAATATTTAACTTTTTGAGAGCTTTCCTTGCATGCGCTGCATAAACGGTGAAAGATACTCAAAAATCATGTAGAGGAAATTGCTCCCCCTTAAAAGTTCTAGAAGGAAATCCGTGACAGCATATGTCTATCTTATATATTTTATAGGGAATTAAATCGTGAACATAGAAACCATTGTTTACAATTCAATTTGTTATTGTAATTATATTTCAAATCATCTTTTTCCAAATCCATTATTGAATTAGTTAAGCTTTTTACGTAGGATTAAATAATGTTTTGAATAATTCAAATCAGTACAATCATTGTTGATAATAATAAATGCATTTGTTATATTGGTTACGTGCAGGAAAATGTTACATTTAGGTGACGCTACTGATCACTAGATAACGTTACTGTACTTTTAAAAAGGATTTTGATTTTTGTTATGTTTGTAGTCTTATTTTTTTCCGTTAACGTTCGTTTTTATTTTTGCAGTTTTCCAATAATATAATTTAATGGAGAATTACTAATAGGGTGAAAAATAAAATGTTACATTTAGCTAACGCTACTGAACACCAGATGACGCTATTGTTCTTTTAGAACGGGTTTTCAATTTTTAAAAAGTTGTTTTCATTTTAATTTTTAATTTTGCGGTTTTTAAGATTCCATAGTTAACTTAAAGTTTCGTTATGTCAACTTGTCTGTCGGTCGGTCCGTAGTTTCGCTTAAAAACGATAAGTATTTACAGGTTGTAATTTAGTATAAGTATACATGTTAATAACGCCTAGAAATAGGTAAAATAAAATCTTTAAAAAAATATTTCTGTTACCTGCCCTACATGTAAAGTGGGGGGTGATTTTTTTTATCTTCCTTGCGTGAAGTAGGGTTGGATAGGCCTTTAAAAATATTAAGGGTGTGGAAAGACCGTTTTTCTATTTAGTTAATTCGTAACTTATTAAGCTTCAAAGTGCCAACTTTCATTAGAGTCAAATATTCTCCCCTCTCCTACCCCTAAACGGTTGTTTTTAGAAACTCAAACGTCAAGGCAGTAGCATTTATATATAATAAATTTAATAAGACAACTATCACACTTGAGTACTGTTTACAAGCTTACGAATAATATTCTGCCAAATGTATTTAACTCGAAAATTTCGAATAACTCTTCGTGCACGAGACCGACTTGCGCTTGCCCCGTTTTATTTAAATGATATATTTTAATGGAGAATTACTCATTTTGCAACAACATAACGTATGGGTGACTTTTATTGAGATACTTTAATACTTAACTGAGGGGCGTTAAATAATGTTCGCGCAAAATGCACTGAGCAGTCCATAATTATGAATGACCAAATATCATAAAATACTTGGAATGAGCTACTAAGGTTAAAGACTTCTTCTTCTTCTTGATTATAGGTAGATAAATAAGCCTTCTTTGTCGTTAGCGTCCGTTCTTAAGGTATGTAACGTTGCAACAAATTAAAAATGGCGTCGAACGAAAAAAGAAATAATCGAATGACGTTTTATTAGTAATTGCGAAAAGGCTTAATTATGCATTATTACAAAATAGCAATCCCAAAATATCTTTTATCGTCGTTTGTTGGGTATAAACATCGATGATTATTGATTGATGTTCAAAAGGTGTCAGTGTTTGCATAAAATTCATGACATTTGGTAAGTGGTTTTTACTGAACCAAAAAAAAGTAAATATAATCACACACTCTAATTCTTTCGATGTGTTCAGGTGTTCCAGTATCTGACCACAGCACTAGGTACTGAGTGATGTATCCCCGCAGTACTTAAACATACTGAAATGTTAAGCTTTTGAAATCTTGCACATTTTTTTCACGACCTTATACATACACCAAATGAGAAAAATTATAAATAAATAAATCAACTAAAAAAAAATAATCAAGAATAAAACGAAAAAGAAAACAACATTACATGAAAGGGATTATCAATTTTAAAAACAAAGTTGCTCACTCTTAACATAAGTTTATTCGAGATCGTAATCTGTGCTTAACTTTAAAAGTTTCTTAGATTTCTCGACCGACTTTCTTTTTCCAGTGACGGTTTTTTTTATTATGAAATAAGTATCTTATTTTATCGTTTTTTTTATTATTTTTACTATCATTATTGTTATTATTCGACTAATAGAAGCATGGTACAAAAGGCGGACTTAATGTTAATAGCATTCTCTACCAGTCAACCTTTGGGAAAATTTACAAACGCGATGGCGGTACAGAGTAATAAAAATAGGTAATTAATTTAAATGAAACTACAACAATAATAATACTAAACTAATTATAACCATACTTTAAAATATAGTGGATTTTTTAAAATAAATTTATTCGGTGATCTCCTGATGGAAATGGGAAGGCTGTTTCTACAGTCGAATTGATTGAAGAGTAAATGAGTTGGACATAAATCCGGCGTGAAAAGGAGGAGTGGCTAGTGAGAGAGAGTTTGAAGAAGGCAGGTGATGAGCATTAGAGAGATTTTGAAATTTAGACTTTAAGTAGGTACTGGTGTATGAGGATTGGGAAGAATAAAGAGTACAAAGCAACCGCACCATGTACCTAACCAT